CTGTTTTCAAAGCAAGCGCATTTTGTGGCATGCCCAAAACTTCCATTAGCTTGGACCTTAGCCAAGCTATTTGTGCAGCATATATATAGGCTGCATGGAGTCCCAAGGCACATCATCTCTGACCGGGGGTGCACTTTACCGCAAAGTTCTGGCGGGAGTTTATCAAATTAATAGGATCCTCGCGGGGCTTAATTCTGGGTTCCATCTGAGTACCAATGGGGTGGCAGAGAGAGCTAACTCAATGATACAGCAGTATTTATGCTGCTATGTGAACTGCCAACAAACCAATTGGGCAGAACTTCTACCTTTTGCAGAGGTAGCCTACAATAATTTTGTACATAGTAGTACAAGGTTCAACCCACTTGAGGTAGTGATGGGAGCAGACTTTGTGCCTATGCCAGAACTACCACGGGGGTCCCCTTCCTCATCATCCTTAGCTGATTGGATGGATAACTAGGCAATCGTACAAGGAACAGGCTGATTGGAAGAAAGCTCCCCAAGAGAGTTATAGGATTGGGGACCAAGTGTATCTCAAGATAAGGCAGCCTTGTAAGATGTTGAGCCCTAAGTACATAGGACCTTTCTCAATTGTGAAAATAATTAATCCAGTAACTGTTGAACTACGGTTGCCAAAGGAATTGAAGCAAATTCACCCAGTATTCCATTGCAGCTTATTGAAACCATTCAAAAGATCCAGCCTGAGACCTGGGTGAGAGGAACCTAGTGTTGTGATTCCGTGCCAGCCTGTGCTCGCAACAGCTGAGTCTGAGGAATCTGAGGAGGAGGTGGAGGAGGCATTTGAAGGGCCACCAGAGGCAAAGGGAGGCTCTGATGAATTACAGGACTCACAGTTTGATGCAGAGCCTGGGTCCTCCAGTCGTGTTCCTGATGAAGCTCAGCTGTGTGAGGAGAATGAGTCAGACTTGGAAGACCCACACCTGATGGACTTGCTAATTGACGCCCACACACGTCATCAATTAGCAAGAGTAAATCAACAGCAGTCAATGCGGCACCTCCAGAGTAAAAAGGAGAAGGCAATGAGAGGCAACGCCTTGGGACTGCTGTATAAAAAGAGGAGGTGTGGGTGGGGCTGGTTGCTGAAGGCAACCGTTTGCAAAGTGCTTCTTGGAATCCTGGTCTGTTCGTCTTGCTTGTGAATTCTCTTCTGTTTGCATCGTGTTTCCTGTGGACTATTTCCTTCCTTTGGGCTTGAGTTTTGCTGTTTGTGTTTTGGACTATTTGACAGGTTTGTCACCCATATTAAAAGGGGTTTGTTTTGTTGTAAAGTCTCCAGACTATTGCATCAGCAGGGGTTTGGTCCTTGTGCCCTTAACAAGGACGGCAATAGGCTGGGATAGAACACTTCCTCCTCCTATACTGGTTGAGGGTGAGAGGTATTATGAGATTAAGAAAATATTAACTTCAAGGATTTTTAGGGGGAAGTTACAGTACCTAGTCCTCTGGAGAGGCTACCCCTTAGCTGATGCTGAGAGCCCAGGATGTTAAGGCTGATCGACTAACACAAAAGTTTCATGAGAAATACCCACAACGTCTAAGGGATGATGTGTGAATTGTTGGATAACTTTACTTATTGTTTCCCTATGCTTATTTTTTTTTCAGGGGGCCAGCATGTCAAGATTGAATTGCTAATATGCTTGCTAATCTCTATCGCTACTCAACTTGCCATTGAAACAGGGGGGAAGGTAAGCTTGGGAGAAATGGAACCATGAGAACCAAGTTCACAAAAGCAGGTGTCTGGCAGAGAAGTGGACTGTTCTCATAACAAACCAAAGAAATATGACTGGGCAATGTGAACACTTGGTGGGTGGGGTTATGGAGTGCTATTGTTAACTAACCAGATTTTCACGCAGGAAACTTAGAGCTGATTTTGCTTCTTCAGTATAGAGTACAGGAAAAAAATCTGCATTTTTCAAGATGACCATGATTTTTATGCTGAACAGTGCTCCATCGCATGAATCGAAGTATTCCTCTGCGTGGCTAGCCAGTAAAGGCCTTAAAGATGAAAGAATAATGAAATGGCCCCCTTCCTCACTTGACCTAAACCCTATTGAGAACTTGTGGGCCCTTCTTAAATGGGAGATTTACAGTGAAGGAAACCTCTCTGAACAGTATCTCTGGGAGGCTGCAGTTGCTGCTGCACAAAATACTGATCGTCAACAGATCAAGAAACTGACAGACTCCATGAATGGAAGGATTATGACTGTTATTGAAAAGAAGGGTGGTTATACTGGTCACTGATTTTTTTTTTTTTTTTTGAAATGTCAGGAATGTTTATTTAGACATTTTGAGTTGTTTGTTTATTATTCTCACTTTAATAGATGCAAATGAATGAGTGAGATGGGCAAATTTTCATTTTTCATTTAGTTGCATAATAATTCTGCACACTAATAGTTGCCCAATAATTGTGCAGAGATAAATATTCTCCTAAGAAAGCCAAAACCTCACTTTTACTTTCATAAATATTCAGGTTTATTAACATTTTGGATTGACTGAGAGCACTACAGTTGTTCAATAAGAAAATTAATCCTCCAAAATACAACTTTCCTAATAACTGTGCACACAGTTTATTTCCTAGAGTTATAAGTATTGTTATACATACTTTTTAAACTTAAGGAAAAATACATTAACTAATTTTCAGAGAGACCCAAAATTATTTAAGGCATCCTCAAATCCTTGATTTATAAGAGGCTAGCAAAAGACAATGGCAAATTCTTTTTATTTTGCTTACTTGTTGTTCAACTATTTTGAATGAGAACCTTTGCTAAAATTTATCTTTTACCCATCACTGTGGGAAATAATCAGGATTTTTTTTTATAATTTAATATTGTTCTGTGCATAAACATGGAAATATGGTATCTGGGTTAATTCATTAATCAAGGTTGAGTTAATGATGGCTAAGCAATCTATATATATTTTATATAAAAACTGTTACACAGTAGGGTCATAAATGCTATGAAAAAAATCAGAAGTAGTGCTTTGTAACCCACACAAGCACAGTATGTCTCTGCTTATCATGCTTATCATTAATAAAGTAATCCCCTTCTATTCCCGAAAAAAGAGGAGCTGCTTTAATGAAAATTAGAGATGTGCTGTGCTCATATAAGATTCAAACTACATTTTGTAAATCATTTTTGAAATATGCATAGCTTATCACACATGAACTTCTGCAGCCTAGTCTCTCACCAATGTGTCAGGTTACAGTTTTCATAATTTTCAGCTCCTTTGTAATCTAACTCATAAGGAGGGCATCAGCATCAGGAATACTGACCTTATACACAGATTTTTGAAAGTAATAGAAGGAGGAACTTGTCTGAAAAAATAAAACTGCATACTAAGTTTTAACCATTAAATAAGAATCCTGCTCCCCTTTTCTATCTCAAGTAAAAAAGATACCATAAAAAGTCATAAGTTAAGAAATTTAGTTTGACTTATAGGTTTATGGTCTAACCCAGAGGTTCTTAACCTGGGCGATATTGCCCCCCAGGGGGAGATTTCATTTTTCAGGGGGGCGATGGAACAAAAAGGGGCGATGCGGGGGCGAAGGAACGAAAAGGGGGCAATATGGGGGCAATGGAGCGAGAAGTTTGGGGACACTTTTGAGACTTTTTTGTACAGTGAATCACTGTATATCTGTCGTACAAAAACATCAGATTGCTCGCTATTAGTGGATTGAATTGTGTTTTCAAATGTTCCTCCAGCTAGCTTCAGTACAGAACGCCATACATATGTGAATATGCATTGCTTATCTTCATGCGTGTTGTGCAGCAGCCTCTACCCATACAGTGGCACGCCATTGGCCAGAATATGGGAGATATGGGAAAAAGACTGGAAATAAATTATTTGTATCGATATGTCCTGATGACAATTTTAAAGAAAACAAAAAAAGTGTTTGCATAAATCAAAGAACTATTTCCTATGTTGTGATTGAGAGGTTATGTTGGGGGAGGGGGCGATGACAACTTCCTCACTGGCTCAAGAGGGCGATTCATTCAAAAAGGTTAAGAACCACTGGTCTAACCCACAATGAAATGTTTATTTAGTACAGGTGAATAAGGAAGTACAGAGAAGGAAGCGAAGGAAGAAAACTGCTTTTGTGGGTTGCAAAAGGAGGAAACTGTAGTGCTTCCACAAGGAATAATGTCCATTTTTAATTAAGCACTATGTAATCATTCACAAAATTCAAAAAGACAAATAGGATATGTAGATTTACCTCCAGCAACCTGAATTACTTTTTTACTTCAATAAATATTGTACATAAGTGCAAAGGTGAACCTTCTTCCCAGTGGCATTCCAGTCCAACAACTGTGTGATGGCTGATGAATTAACTTGAAATGTTATTTTGAATTAATTAATAAAGCTTGGGGGGGGGTATTAACTCTAGCAATACCTATAAATGTTTAGTCACCGCTGAATGGGATATACTCTATTTATAAAACAGTAAAGCTAAGCTTTAATACATTATTAAATTACTTCTAATCACTGGGACTTTAGTGTATATTAACTATAATAAAAACATGTCTCCAAATACAACACGGTATTAAGGCACAGCCAACTTTTGCCACTAAAAAGTCTGGTTCTTGATTGGACTGTTCATGCCCTTTTTGTAACTCCCCAAATCACCAACACAAAGCAGTAACCAAGCAGTTTTAAGATCTACATTAAAAGGCTTGCTAGCAATCTCTTCCTTACAGGCGATCGCTAGACCTAAAGACATTCAGCCAGTGGCAAGAACCCGCAAGTTGTCTTATTAAGGTACACCGCAGCCATCACCATTTCATTTCTCACCCCTTCTCCCTCCCCCATCCGGAATCCTTTGTATAATCATTCACTCAGTGTCAATTGGTACCATAAACCTATTCTCCGGGCGGATCACATCAATAAAAGAAACTAAGAAACACGCCTCGTCCAGGGGCACCTCTTCCGCTTCGGCAAGGTACGCACCACTGCAGATACATTCGTGCAGCTCTCTTGCCCCTTACCTTAGTGATGATCAGAGGTTCTCCATGTTCTCTGCCTCCTTTTAACGTAAATCCCCAGGGAGCTTCGCCACTTAATTGTACTTCCACCAGCTTGTACAGATCAGCTCCTCTCTGTCTCCTGTCGCTAGTTGGTGCGGGTGTCCCTGATCCATAAATACTGCCGGATTCAGCCTCGGATCTTTGTCTGCCTCTGAAGTCCACATTCTCCATAGTCTCTCGAAATTGCCCCCTCCCCAGCTTCTTCCTAGTTTGATCCCACGCGTCGCTGACCTAGGAACCACATACCTTCAACAGTTTTTCAGGCTGCTCCCAGATGAGAAGGGAGGGGGATTGTAAACCCCTTCCACACCCTGGCTCCTCCTCCTCCTCTTCCAGAGTTCAGGCTCTCTTTTTCTTTCTTTGAAAGAGAAGCCTAAATCACCCAAAGGGAAGAGAGCGAGCAAGCAACCCCAGGAAATTAGACTTGCTCGACTGGACTAGATACAGTTCCCTCAAAGCATAAAATATTTATTCGCGCTTTCACGGCTATTGGCTTAGTTGCTTTGCGCGCGCCTGTTAATTGCTTCACGGAAACAAACCGCGGCAGTTTTCCCCAAGGGAAATGCCAGAGACCAGAACCCGAATAGAAACGAAGGAAGTCACTGAGGACATTTTTCACTTTCGCCCGAAGATGTTACGAGTTTCCGTTTCGGATGGGGGGGGCTCTTCCCAGCAGGAAAAAGGGTGGTTTGAAACATGGGTATTTTTTTGTTTTTGTTTTAAAAAGGAAATCTCGATCATCCTTCCCAAATAAACCGAGGACAATAGCGAAAAGTTTTCTCCAACATATAGGGGAAAGCCGCGAGCACCATCGTCCTCACAATGGGAGTAGCGCCTTTCCACTGAGAATCGTGCCCACCTTTCAGAAAACTGCTCCTTTGAGCGCAGTTTTGCGCCCGGTGTTCTTAGAAGCGGTCCCGTTGGAGCCAGTTGAGTTTTATACGGGGAAAGGAGCTGCAAACAGTAAACTTGACGGTTCCAAGGCGCCAAGAAAAGGAGAGGTTGAGCCACGGCAAAGAAAAAAAAACCTCCCTGTTCCCCTTCCAGGTTTTCTTCAAAAACAGGCAGCGCCAGCTCCTTCCGGCTCCTTGGCCGCAGGGTTTCACGAGGGCCTTTTCTCCTCCCGCTGCTTTGCCGAGGACAAGCACAACAGGCTGGCTAAAGAAGACTTTTGTGTCGGAGGGCGACGAGAAGTTTGCTTAGCAGCCTTCCAAAAGACCCCGCGGGCTGGGCGTTTCAGCGGCCGAGAGGAAGGCTGGAACCGTCGCCTGCAGGATCTTACAACACGAAAAAGTTCCGGCATTTTTCTTACAGGGGATAGAGGCGCGCGCCACCGAGCTACCTGCGAAATGTCTTGGGAGGCGACATTTTTCTCGTCAGAGGCCTCCTAGCGGCGGCTGCGGGAAAGTACAGCGGAGAGTAGCATCGCTTTCGAATCAATTAAAGCTCTACAGCAGCCTAGGCAGCCTAGTGACGAAATCCGGGTTTAACAGGGACTAAAAACCACAATTTCCCGAGCGGCAAAGAAGCGACTGTACAAAAGCTCTGAACGGAATTAGAAATTCCTTAGTCTAGTGCAGAGGGTCTCCAAATTTAGCAACTTTTAAGACTTGTGGACTTCAGCTACCAGAATTCACCAACCAGCATGATACCTTAACCATGTAGTTGTTGAACACTAGAAGTCAGTGAGTTCTAGCCCCGCCTTAGACATGAAAACCGGCTGGGTAACTTTTGGCCAGTCACTGTGACTCAGCCCAACCCATGATACAGGGTTGTTATGGGGAAAATAGGAGAAAGAAGGAGCATTGTGAGTGTTCACCTCCTTGAGTTAATTATACAAATAATAAAGATGGAATAAAATAATGTGTTATCTTTTTTAAAACCCATCTATTACACTGACAGTGCCAAGTTGGTTTACTGGTTAAAGTAGTGGTGGGGAACCTATGGCACGCGTGCCAGAGGCGGCACTCAGAGCCCTCTTCTGTGGGCACGCAAACATGCCCCAAAGACAGCAACCATCCCTCTTCAACCAGCCACCCGCTAACTCGCCAAAGTCCCATGTGGCCAGATGCATACAGCACAGCTGGTTTCTCTTCCCCCCCCCCCATCCTTCCTGGCCTCGCATGCTCTCCTTTTCCTGGGCACAACCCACTGCATCACCTCCTCAGCTGTCAGCCAGCCGTGCAGTTCAGAGGCAGCTTCTCTGAACTACTGATGGCAGGCTGTGGAGCCCCAGAGTGTGCCGGTTGGGGGGGGGGCTGGCAGGCTGTGGCTGCTGATGAACACTGTCAGCCCCCATGCACTCGCTGGCCTCTGTGTGCAGGGCCAATGGTATCAGGCAGCAGCTGCCCCAGCCCCTGCCTCGCCTTGCCCTGTGACAATGGCACCCCTGCCCTGCCTCGCCTTGCCTCACCCAGCAGGACGAACCTCCTACCCATTGCCCCACCTGCCAGAGACCCCCTGGATCTCCAACCCTGCCCGGCCCCCACAGGCGTCCCTCCCCACGAGCAACTTCAAGGTGACCATGCCCACCCAGTCTGTCATGACCACCACAGCCATGCCCACCCAGTGGGCCATGCCCACCTGGCACCTGGTGATAAAGAAGTGGGTTTTGGGTTGCAATTTGGGCACTCTAAAAGGTTCGTCATCACTGGGTTCAAGGATCAGGCTAGAAACCAGGAGACTGTGAACTGCCACAAAGGCAGCTGGGAAACCTTGGGCCAGTCATTCTCTCTTAACCTTAGGAAGAAAGCAATGACAAATCACTTCCAAAATTCTGTCAGAGAAACTAGGGATTTAACAGTGTGAGAAACAAAAAAGTTTAAAAATAAAACTGTTACAATTGATTAATAATAAAAGGATTAGCCACGCCCTGCATGTAGGCACTAGATTCCAGGAGGCTTGGCTATAAGATACAAAAGGGTGGCAGGGGGAAGTTCGAAACAATGTAACCAGGGGGAGGGATGATGTATTCTGGCTAGGCATCTCGGACAAGATTGTGGCCTCTGAAGACCTTTCAAACGGGAGCGAAGGGGAGGGGACAGGGGCGTCGCGATAGAAGTGTATATAATGTTATGAGTTTGAATGTTTGAGTGTGGTCTCTGGTTTAGAACTTCCTGTTGAGGCTTCTCTCAGAGATCCACCATACTTTGCAAACTGCTTTTTTTTCTATTTTCCACAGAATAAACTCTTTTCTTACTAATCCAATTTTGTTGGTGTTTTAATCCCATTTCCAACAAATTGGCTGCCCAAACGTGGGGCCTCAGGCATCTGTTCCTGCATCTTCGGGAGGCGAGGTCAACTGAGGACAGCATGCCCCATTGATTTCATTGGTCCAAGATTGCAGTCACAGGTCAAGAAAGCGGAATGGAGCCAGGCCCATGGACCAAATAGTGATTGGTAAGAACTGAGGAGAGGGGACCAGAGAATTACCAGGACAAGGACCGGACAACTTCGTGCATGAACCTAGGTGAGTAAAACTTGGGGTAAAGCAAGGAATAAAACCTAGGTGATCAGGGAGGGTTGGGTAGGACAGTCTGAGTCTGAGATCTATGAGAGGTGTGTGTGAGAGATGCCCCGAGAGTCCTAGAAGACTGGCAAGACATACATGCACTAGGTATGAATGTCCCGGGGATCTAAAGAACTGGCAAGATGGAGTGAGAACGGACTCCTGAGTAAAAGGAGAAAGAGGCTTAGTGAAGCGAACCATGGTACATTAGATTGGTAAGGACAAGAGAATTGTGTGGTAAACCAACCGTGGGTAATTCAGGAGGGTCCCAGGAGAAGAAGTGTGTGAAAAGGTGATAGAAGTAAAAGAAAGGTCTTCAAAATTTAATATTGAAAAAGAAATTTAAAATTGAATTTTCTGCAGTGGAAATTTACTGAGTGAAGAAGCTATGATGGGAAACAGAAAAGGTTAACATAAAGAAAGGATGTAAAAGAAATATGTAGGCAAAAATTAGCTGGGTCTTAGAGTGCGAAAGGAAGAAGACAAGCTATAAAAACATTTGTAAGAGGAAATGTCTAGCCAGGAAAGACATGTTGAATTGAAAAATAGGAAAGAACCTATTGTTCTAAAAGGGGGACATAAATATCCACAGAATTTAAAATAACCATTTAAATGTCTAATTTTTCTTATTATTATTGTATATGTGAATATGATTTAATATGTTATCAGGAACTGTGTATAAGCAGATGGAAAGAGTGTAACCTCGTAGTACCTCAGCCAATGAGGAAAGAGGAGGGATGTAGTGGCTGGGGTCAGGACTGCATAAAAGAAGGAAATATTTTGGGTTAAAACTTTGGAGAGAACCAAGCTTTGATAGCTTCTCTCCCTGCTTATTGCAATAAACGAAACAAAAGGCCCTCACTGTGTCTTGGCTGGTTATTGGTCAGGCGAGCTTGCCTCTGGTCACGAAGGAACGGAGCCAAGAGCACATCCAAAACTGAAAATAGATCCCCACAGTCCATTAGAAAAACTGTTAGAAAACTGGGGGAAACCACCATATAACAAACTGATCACTAAGTTAAATTTAACAAAATAAGATATGGTAAATTTGTGCTGTTTCATATATGTGAATATGATGAGAAAACTGAGTAGCCCCAACAGGAAAAGGAAACATAAGCCCCATCTTGCAGGCAGCAGACCCGCTTGTGTCTGTGGATGGGTTTCCCAGGCCCTGCCCATGTGGAGCCAGGGTAGTAAAGGGAGTTTTGAGTTTGAGCTCAAGGGCTGCTTTGGAAAGAAGGAGAAGGTGAGTACCTCTAAATTTGAACTTTAAAACCCAGTGGAATGAGAGAAATGTGTGTATGTCTCTGTGTGTGAGTGAGAAGACTCTTTATCCAATCACAGTTGGATTTTGCTCTCTCTGGCCTTTCCTAGCCACAGAAAGGATCTGTTTGAGTGGTAGACCCTGGAAAGCATGGGGGTTTGGCCAGAGCGCAGGACCTTTTGTTAGGGAAAAGGGAGAGGTTGTATGCAAATGGAATGGAATGAGTGAATGAAAGAATTGGATTTGAGCAACCAGCTGGTTAGGCCCTGTAAGCAAAGCAAAGTAAAGTTAGGAAAATTGACTTTGCTCAGGGCTTTGCTGGAAAACCAATTTGGCTAAATAAAGGTAAAAGAAAAATAAGAAGTAGTGATTTTCCTTCTGTCTCTATCTTTCTGTACAACCACGTGGTATGATTAAGATTCGTGCCTTCCCTAATTTGAGTTAGCTGAGATTTGTGGTGGGAATGACCAGGATGTGTAGAACTAAAAGTTCTGTTTCCTTTTGTGTTCTCTTTTCCTTGTCTTGGTATGTATATGTGTGTCAAAGTCTTTGTGTGTGAGGTAAATGTGACTGTTAATTGTTTCTAATCCCAAGAGAAAAGAAGCTACCAAAAAGAAATACCCTCACTCTGCTTCTCTGGCCAACAAACAGAGTGAAGAAAGATGTGTTTGTTTGTTTTTCTTCCCCCCCCCTCCTCTTAAGGACAGCCCAAAGTTAGCAGGAATAATAAAGTTGGAAGGGACCTTGGAGGTCCTCTAGTCCAACCCCCTGCTCAGGCAGGAAACTATAGACCAGTGATGGCGAACCTTTTAGACACCGAGTGCCCAAATTGCAACCCAAAACCCACTTATGTATCATTGGGTGCCGGGCGGGCATAGCCCATTGGGTGGGTGTGGCCCATTGGGTGGGCATGGCCCATTGGGTGAGCGTGGCTATGGTGGTAACGGCAGACTGGGTGGGACTAAAAAGTTCAATCAATCAACTCCAACTTTGCAAAATCTTTTTTTTCCCGTGAGAAGTTGAAATTGATTGATTGAATCTTTTTTTTTGCACACAGCGGCAGAGGCCTAAGGCGAAAAGGTTTTATAAAACCCAGCTGAAGGCCTAGGACTGGGCCACAGAGATGGCTCTGCGTACCACCTGTGGCACGCGTGCCATAGGTTCGCCACCACGACCTTATACCATTTTCTTGCCTATCATAACTTGTGTTTCTAATCTATTTTTTTTAGTAGTTCTGCTCTCTCCCTGTTGCAAATGTTGTTCAGGAGTGAAACTTTTCATGTATGGTCTCATCCAGGCTTTGTTTTGGTCCTCATCTGTGATTTCCTCATTTTGTCTGCCTGTTTCTTTAACTACAGTATTAATGCCTTTTCAATCTCTGTCTGCAGGCACAACCCCCCCCCCTCTTTTTTTCTGGCTATGTTGCTTTAAGAGCAAGAGAGACAGAAAGGAGGAGAGGACGGGGGTTTGATCTTTCTAATTTTTTTCGCTTAGAATTGTGGTTTGAGGAAGGAGGGGTGGACAGAATTGGGATTATAAAAGAGCTATGTTGTTTTGAATAAAGATTAGTATGCAAACAAACTCAAGCAGAGTTTTTGGTAAGCGCTCCTTTGTTTGCACTTTACTAACCAATTTGTTTGTAAATACAGACAAAGGAATGGCTAGGAGAGGGGGGGTTTACCCAGAAGGGGGGGGGGAAAGAGTAATGAAAATGGGAAGTAGAAGAAAGTGGGAAGTGAATGTTGCCAGATGGGAGACGGATGTTGAATAAAACATTATGGATGTATTGGAATTTATACAGCAGCAAGACAAGTGATGGATAAATGCTTGATATGTAAAAAGGTAAATAGGCAAGCAATTAGGAAACAAAAAGGGGGAGGGAAGCCTCCAGCCCTTAGGCCATTTCAGTGCATTCAGGTAGATTTTACTACCCATGTAGTACTCATGGCAACAAGTAA